TATAATCTTTAATATTATAAATCTAAATCAAGACTACTCAATCTCCTAAGGTGACATGGTAGAGGCTGACAGGAACTCCCTGAATAACCTGGCTGTTCAGTTTGCAAAGGAGATGATCTCTCCAGCAGATGGTCATGACTCGGTTGCCTTTGGTCTTTTCTCTTAGATGTCATTAACCTTGAGTGTCATTGTTATCTTTCCTTGGCAGACCATGAGGCTTCCACTCAATCTCTTGCTTTTGAAAGTTATTTTTCAAGCACAAAACCCAACTTGCTCCAGGATTGTGTGTGTGTGTGTCTGGTAATAGAGACAGGTGATGCTCTTTCCTGGAGAAGTATCTGTGTATACCCAGGGCCACAGGTTAGTTTAAGGTAGAACTTCTTACTCTGGGAAATGAGTTGGGGCTGGAGCATTTCCGATGGACATGTGGTGATACTCTCTAACATCTGCAGTCTAGACCTCCCCCTTATTGTTTGGTTGGTTACAGTGGCAGTGCTGCTGGTCCCTTCACAGTGGTGTATGAGCGCAAATAAAAGGAGAAAACTGGACATCTGATACTATTAAGCAGAGTTATTTTAATGAAAATGAGAAACAATGAGTAACAGAAAGAATAAGTCTGTAGTTTTACAAAAGGGTCTTGAGCAAGCAGAGTGTGTCCGATGCCAGATGATGCTTTCTCCTTGTGGAAGTGGTGGAGTTTGACAGTCCAGACATGCTTCTTGCTTGTAGAGTTGCTTGTAAGTCATGTTCACTGCCAGGTGAGGCGCAGCATGGATATATAACAGGAACTCCTCTACTAGATGTCATCTTCAGTGAAGTTTATAGCTGAGCAAAGTGGACTTGTTCATGGTGGTTGCAGAAACTCTTATTACTATGGCAATACAAAGTGGCTGTGAATTAACTTAAAAGACACTTTACTCACACCTGAAAGTCTTGCTTTACTCCATCAACACACTGTAAAGATGCCTCAGTACTTGCTGTAATTCAAGTTGCCCTTCAGAGTAACAGTTGAAGAAACAGGAGATATTAGAGAGGGTTACGTATGGGGTAGTCTTACACAGCCTTGCTCCCACATGTCCCACTGAACTCAGCCAGAGGCATGGGTGCTTGGCGTTTCTCAGCATCATAACACTAGCCATGAATCTGTGCCCTTCATTTCATTTCTTGGTTGCTATTTTTGCTGCTTTGGCATGCATAGCAGTTTCAATAGCTGTATCTGTTGCCAAAACGAAAAGAGAAGGGGTAGCCATACCCAAATCCACATGAGTCCCCAAACCCATAATAGCCCCCATAACCAATCAAGCCTCTGTTCCCATACAGGTTCCCAAAACTTCTGTAGCCGTATGGGCTTCCATATCGGTACTGGTCCCGGAAGTAGCCATATGGGCTCCCAAATCGGTAACCATTCAGGCCACCAAAACCATAGAGGTCTTCATAGCCAAATGGCGAATAGAACCCATCATCACAGAAGTCCCTGTAGAAGGTCATAGTTCGTTGATGCAGGTAAACCTGAAACACACATCCAGAAGCGAGGTGAGTTTATGGACTGCTGACAGCAGGAGGAAAAGCTCAAAGCTCGGACCGAGTGGAGGAAATGCAACTTGCTCCCTCCTGCAGGTCTTTTTCATCCATCTTGTTTATTTTTCTAATTTCCTGAATCCCAAAAAACTTTTCTACTTTTTTTTAAATAGCTGACTATACATAGAAAATATGTTTTTACTGAGAACTGAAGTTTCCCACCCTAGAAGTTAGAGAAATTTGAATAAATTAAAGAAAAATATGCCAGTTCAGATACTGATGCTTATTCAGATGAGACCAACAGCCTGTCACATGTATCCCCTTATCTCCTGTAGTGCTGCGTGCCACTCAACACAGGATAAACTCAAAGAATGCAATGAAATGGAGGAATTTCCTTCCAGGATGTCTACTTAAAGTAGTAAATGTTTCATAAAGTTTTTATCTAGGGATTTGAATTCCCAATATCTAATGAAAATAATCTGGAACTAGAAATTACTTATGACTTCAAAATTGCAGCACTAAACTTCAGATTTTCAGTGCTTTAAAGCCTACTATTAAATAAGCACAGGAAGAGCAAAAAAGTTTCAGTGAAAGAAATTCTTGATGTTGCAGAGAATTTTAGGTTTGCAATTAGCTCCAAAATGACAAAAAAATTGCTTACAGAATGTATGTACCTATACATAGATGCATGCTACATATATAAATGTACACACTAGTACCTTTTTTATATATATGGCCATGACCACACACACAAATATTTATACAAACATATAAACATATATATATGCAAATACATGTATATCAGAAAGAGTAGAGACAGTATTGACCTACCTGGTTCACCGAGGGGAGTAGCTCGAGAGAAGTGAATAAAATTTTGGCGTTGTAGGTCCGTATATATACCCTCTTAAACTTCGGTGTTAGTTATACAACATATCTTGTTGCATGCATTATTCCTTCAATTGATGTAATTGGAGTCAGTGATTTTCATATTTTCAAAGTTTGATGTTATGACACACATGTAATACCTTCAGAATTTCTTTCATCTTAAAACAAGGAGAAATGGGCTCAGCACATTTCTAGTAAAATTGCATGGAATTCTTTGTAGTTGGATGGATAGGAATAATTTTGGGAGATGTTTAGACCATTACCAGCTGCGCAATCTGCTTGTAGGTACTCCATTCGCTTGGTTTTTGCATCTGTGGTGCAACATGTAGGGGAGAAAAGGAGTAGGCTTGTCTTTGGTGTGCCGAAGTAGGTGCTTCTACTCAGCATCATCATGACCTCTATGTACTGCCTGGTAATATTGGTGGGGATCTCTTGCCAGCAGCTTTGTTTGATTTTTTTTTTTTTTTTTTTGTCTCAGGTTCTACAACAGTGATTTTTGAAGAAATTTTTCAGCTGCCCTACGAATGTTCCCAAATATTTCTTCCTATTTTAGAAGAGGTTTTCTGGTAGTTTTTGATTTTCATAAAACATATAATGCATTACCTTATTAGGACTTAGAAACAAGAGACCTTGATGTGTCTTGTAAGTGACCATATTATTAAATCTGGGGGTGTCTTTCGGTGACAAACTATTAATATTTAAATACTGCAACACTTTGCAAATTGAAAACATTAATGAGTGTTTATGAAATGCTTTGGTATTCAAAATTCTGAGGAAGCCTCAACATCCTGCTTGCTCATTATTACCCTTACTTTATATTCAAATTAATGCCAGAAATTAGGTGAAGGTCATGCAAGGAGTTCTGCAGTGAACTCCAGCATTCCTCACTATTGCACCACATTTGATACATGTGGTTGACTCACTGTGAAGAAAATATTAACATGGTTCCTTGGAAAATAGCATTTAGTACATCTCACAAAAATCCTTACCATTTATTATTTTGCAGACCAAGTTTGTACTTGTATTCTCCACTTTGTTCTGCTGAACTCATGGTCAAGCCCTCTAGTGAACTAAACTGCAAACAATGCCGTAGTTGTATTTCTGTCGAAAACATTCTTTCTGCTCATGCAGCAGCATGACTTTTATCCGCCATGAACACTTTGGAGGAATGCAATTAAGATTTACTTGTAGCTTGTGCTCGTCCTGTTTCCTGACCTTGCTACGTAGTTTAATATAAAATACCTAAATATATGTTTACTTTTCCTTTAAATAGGAAGTCTGTGCCATGGTGCATCAGAGTTTCTGGTGAACAACAGATATTTTCAAACATTTGGGAAGGTTTTCCTTTTTTACTGAAAATTTCTATCCCTCCAATGACTTTGGGAACTTATAAATGCTTTTATATTATATGAAAATAAACTTAAGTTTTGACAGTGATGACAATAAAATGGTATCAGGAATGCAGTTGGCCCAGAAAATTTTAAGATGAAAGAAACCTGTAATATATGTGACATATGGGAGGCTGGGAACATACTAATAGTCCCAAACAATGAAGAGAATTATATTAATTGAAGATATGACGTGTACAGGCAAATTTGTTTTCCAACCAATAAGACTACAAACCTTTTGAATACACAAGGCGTCTTAGATAAGCCAGGCGGGCAAAGAAACAGTATAAAAAGGGCTCGGAGCTCTGTGCTCCTCATCAGCTCTTTTGCCTTCCTCCTCCTGGTGAACTAGGTAAGCCTCTTCTCCATTTAGCCTCTTCATAAGCATTAGAAAATTTGGTTTAATAATTTATTTTAGGATTGTGGCTTCCCTGAAATTTAAGATTTCTCTGTACCTTGTACCTGTGCTTCCTGCATTGCAGGAACTGATGGGCTCAAGTTTTAAAGGTAGGGCTGCAACTTTCCTGGTCCTCTTGGTACCTGGGGTATCTGGCTCCCTGATAAGGATTCCTGGTTATTAGGTGGTGGGTTCTTCCATAAATCTTCTGTTTTATTTTAAGGGAGGTCTTCAGGTCGGTTTGGCAAGACAGCAGATGTTCTCATGTGTGCTAACGCTCTGTGGTTTCTGGTGTGTGCTGTCAGCATTTCCAGATGCCAATCCAAAATTGGCGTAAATTACTGAAGTGGGACTTGGAGCAATGGACCCAAAAGATGAAGTGTGTTATCATGGAAAACATCAGGCACTTTGAGCTTTCTTGAAGGATTTGGGAATGTAAAGCTCTATGCAAAACTGATAAACCTAAAAGAAATTTAGGATTGTTAACTCCTAACAATATTCTGTGAGAAAAATTCTGAAACAGCAGCAAGGAGGTTTTGATCTGTTACAGGTATATTCCATAGTCAGTGCTTTCACCAACTTCAGTAAGTGAGAAAATAAATAAAATGGTTTAAAAACAGTGGGCAAATGAGAAAATGACAGGCTGTAATAAGGAGCTGAAGAATTTGGTCATAATTTTGCTTCTGTCCTTGGTTTCACGGGGCCAATAAAGAAGTGTTTGGGCTCTGAGACTGTTACTAACACTGGAAGTATTTATTACTTTTGCTTTCCTCCCTCCTGCTGTGTTTCAGGTTTGCCTCCATCACAGAAAGATGACTTTCCTCCAAGGCCAGTGCGAGGATGACTGCTATTCTCCCTGCAATTACGGGAGTCTGTACAGCTACCGTGGCTACGACTGCGGGAGCCCCAGTGGCTACCGGGGCTATGGTGGCCTCTATGGCTACCGGGGCCTCTACGGCTTTGGGGACCGGTACGGCTACGGAGGTCTGTACGGTTACCGGGGCATTTATGGCTCTGGGGACTGCTACGGTTATGGGGGTCTGTATGGCGGCTATAGGGGCTTCTATGGCTCTGGGGACTGCTATGGCTACCCAGGCTTTTACTCCGGCCGCTACGGCTACCCCTTTGGTTCACGATATGGCCAGAGGTTCGGCTACGGGAGCTGCTACCCCTGCTAAACCCAGCGGGAACGTCCCTGAAATGAAGATCAACCCAGACCTGGCAAGCACGGATTGACGGCAGATCTTGGCAGCAGCGGTCCCGGATGTGCAGAGCCCTGGTGACAGCAGCCACCCTCCACGAAGTCTTTGAGCACTCTGCACTGCTGTTGAAGTGCTTGCAATGGTTTATCTTTATTCTGCTCTGTGTCTGTTTTCTCCCTTGGCACCCAAACTCTCCTCTTGAGAGTTGAGCTTGCTTTTCCTTGATACTGCAGTTCTTTGTAAACTGACTTTTATGTTTGTTGCGATCATGTACAAAACATAAACTGAATGAACGGTGTAGGCAGGGTGTAATGTGTCTTTGGGAATGTAGCCTTTCAGTTCTGTATGCCTTTAAAAGTCTATCTGTTTTTCACTCATATTAAAAATTGTGCTTCATGAGTACTGTATCTCTGGTTTTATTTTTCACTTGCATTTCTTAAATATCTTGAAATCAACAGCATCACACAGATTGGGTGGCAAAGTTATTAACTTTGTGTACTCAAATATTTGCTTGTAGAGACTTGCCCTCCTCAAGCTGAGAAACATGGACTTTTCTAGCTATGAGAAACTTCAGCTCTATCTCAGGTTATGCATGTTTCTACAACTCCAGGCTTTTGCTTGGTATATTCCAAAAAAATGGTTCATTTAAAATATTTCAGTGCTGCTGTTGGGCTAATGTGATGTGATTAGGACATGACTCATCACTGGCTGTGGTCTGATATTGAAGAGGTCACAGGTAACTGCAAACCTGCAGACTCATCAGATTTTTAACTTTGAAATAAGTTTGTGGTTTGTATATTATCATAGAATCATTAAGCAGCCCAGGTTAGAAGGGAACTGGCAAGATCAGGGTTCAAAGGTTTGGGGTTCCCTGATGGAGAAGTGGGAGGAATTTTCCCTTTGCACTGTAAATAATTTGGCAGGAGAAATGTGTATCCACTGGCCAGCACCTCTGTGGCACGGCAGCGGGGCGACGTCTCTCACTTCAGGGAAGGGTACTCAGAGCCCATGTTTTGGAAGGAAGCAGAGTCACGACTGATTTTTACTGATTTTTTTTTTTTAAATTTTCTCCCACTGAATGTTATGGTCAGAGGCTGTAGAACCTCTTGGCTGTACAACCGAGAGGCTACATCTGCATGAGGAGGAAGATGATGGTACTTTCTCATTGTTTCCCTGGTCAGGGCCAGCTGGCAGTCAAGAGCTACCAAAACGCCCTGGGGAGATTGAGTACTGTTTCACTTGTGGGTTTTTTTTTAAGGGCTATTTGCCTCTATTTTTCTCAACTTTTCTTTGTCTTCTAGCTTTTAGTGCCTGGATTTAGTGAATTATTGTAACCGCACCTGTAGAAATGGAGTCTTCTATGCAATGTCTGTGTGGAAGATCAAGGCCAGCAACGCCGTCTCCCATAACATCCTCATAGGCAAGCTTAGGAAGTGTGGGTTAGATGAGTGGCCAGTGAGGTTGGTAGAGAACTGGCGGAATGGCAGAGCCCAGAGGGTTGTGATCAGCGGCGCAGAGTTTTGTTGGAGGCCTGTAATGAGTGGTGTGCCCTAGAGGTCAGTGCTGGGTCCGGTCTTGTTCAACATCTTCATCAGGGACCTGGACAGGGGACAGAGCACACCCACAGCAAGTTTGCTGAGGATACCAAACTGGGAGGAGTGGTGGACACAGCAGAAGGCTGCACTGCCATTCAGCGAGACCTGGACAGGCTGGAGAGCTGCGTGGAGAGGAACTCAATGCCATTCAACAAGGGCAAGTGGAGGGTCCTGAATAACCCCAGGCAAGAGGTTAGGGGTTGACCTGCTGGGAAGCAGCGCTGCGGAGAAGGACCTGGCAGTCCTGGTGGACAGCAAGCTCTGCATGACCAGCAGTGTGCCCTCGTGGCCAAGGCGGCCAATGGTGTCCTGGGGTGCACTGAGAAGAGCGTGTCCAGCAGGTCAAGGGAGGTTCTCCTGCCCCTCTGCTCTGCCCTGGTGAGGCCACATCTGGCGTTGTGTGTCCAGTGCTGGGCTCCCCAGTTCCAGATGGACAGGGAAGTGCTGGGGAGAGTCCAGCGGAGGGCTGCGAGGATGATGAGGGGCCTGGAGCACGTCTGGTATGAGAAAAGGCTGAGAGAGCTGGGGCTGGTTAGTCTGGAGAAGAGAAGACTGAGAGGGAATCTGATCAAAGCTTATCAATATCTAAACGATGGGTGTCAAGGGGAAGGGGCCAGACTCTTCTCAGTGGTGCCCAGTGACAGGACAAGGGGCAACAGGCACAAACTGGAACACGGGAAGTTCCATCTCAATATGAGGAGAAACTTCTTCACTTTGAGGGTGACAGAGTTCTGGGACAGGCTGCCCAGAGAGGTTGTGGAGTCTCCTTCTCTGGAGAGATTCAAAAACTGGGTATATTAAAATACTGTGCAACTTGCTTTAGCAGGGGCGTTGGACTTGATGATCTCCAGAGGTCCCTTCCAACCCCTACCAATCTGTGATCAAGACAGAAAAAGCCACCACTTCCTTCTTGACACTATTCCCATTGCTTTTTAATATAGGTTTTTATTTTTTCTTATGTTCCACTGACTGGTAATGAAATTTGTTAAACTGGAATGTGATGAGAAATTGTGACTCTGGAATAAAAAATTTGAATTTGATTTCCAAGAATAGGACAATATTCTGCTCCCTTGAACATATTTATATACTCCTTATAGAGGCCTGAGACTAATTCTTTTTCATTTAAAAACATTATTATAAAGATTATACAGCCCTATTATCCTGACATACGTTAACCTTAAATCTGGTAATAGTTTCAATTAAGTAAAGGAAAGGGAGAAATTATGGCGTTTGTCCAATTTCTGAGGGGTAGAAGGGAAGAAGAGAGTTTATATACTGGGACCAGCTGCTCTGAACGTGGAGGGGCATGAAGCCAGCACTAGGGACAGAAAGTCCCTTCAGGATGCTGCCACTCAGTATATTCATGTAAACTAGGGACAGATGAAAGAAGACGACTGGAACTCCAGGGTTTTTTTATGCAGAATTTTTTTAATGCAGTAAGAAAAGTAGTTGGCACAGATACAGAAAGATTATAGTTTGGGGATACTGGAAAGAGCTACAGAAGATGAATCATTGCACTATGCTATACAGAACATTCCTTTCTGTTGAAGCTGTGTTGTTCATCCTTGAGGTACTTGTAAATCCAGATCAAAGGGAAGACGGCCGTAATACTTCTCCATTACACCGTACTGCAGCAGCTTACTGGAAGCAGTTATTGAAAATGCAGATGACACAAAACCTAATTTTGCAGAAGTCCTTTAACACCGCTGCAACAAATGTAAGAAGCTTCAAATGAACTGCAGCTTGTTGTTCCTGTTGCTGAAGGGGTGTATAGGGGTTTAAATGCAGGAGAATATCAAGAGAGAACTCATAGTTGGGAAAGATGTGAAGAAGCAGACAGAAAGAAAAAATACAAACACCAAGAAGTTTTAGAGAGCAGCCAAGCTCCCCATTCTCAGTGACTTCAGTTGCTGTCACAGGGGCTCAGCACTTCTGTAAACATTGCCGCTGAGATTAGCCGTTCATCTTTGCTTGCCGGGTCGGGGTTGATTCTTGTTGCAGGGATATTGCCACTGGGTTTAGCAGCAAGGGTAGCAGCACCCATAGCTATAACTGCGGCAGCAGGGGTAGTAGTAGTATCGGGTTGTGCATCTGGACCCGTAATTGCAGCAGTCTCCGCAGCTGTACCTGCGCCGGTAGCTGCAGAGAGTCCGATAATTGCAGGGGTTGCAGTAGTTGTAGCTCCGGGAGCAGCAGACGGTCCTGTAGCAGGGTGAGCAGCACACTCTGTAGCACGGGTAACTGTAACAGCAAGACATCTTGGTGTGGTGGAGGGAGGCAGGCAAACCTGAAACAAAGCAACAGGTAAAGGGTAGGCTCAGCTTGCAGGGAGCAGCAGCAGAGGTGGCTTAGTGGCATGAGTTGGAAAGAAATATTGAACAAATAGTCTTTGGATGTGATTTTGGCTTCCATTTTATCCAGCCCATTTCTGCGCTCCATCCTTGTTAGATTCAACTGTGGAACACAGTTTCTATTCTTTAACTTCTCCTCTTAAAAGTGAATGTAATAGCCTGTGTTTTTGGACTTTGGATATAGGAGGTTCAGCTTGCAGACATACATCAAAACGTATGTGTTTGTGAGTGTCAAAGATCCCAGCACAGGCAGTTGGGGTCAATCCTGACAGCTAGTCTGCAGCTCAGGATATGCATGTGTAGGTGTCCTAATGTCTGACCTGAATCCCACACAGCATTTTCAGAAGTTCTCAGAAGCATTCTTGCACAACACAACAAGTACATTAAAGTCAACCTCCTTGCCTGGTTTTAATCTCAGCACGTAAACTATTCCTTTTCCTGTGTAACGTTGGTTCGTATGCTTTGTTAGTGCCAGTTCTAGCAAGGATACTGAAAATAGTCTGAAGAGCTGAGGTTTAAATCCTCTATTGCTGCAGATCACAGCTGCTTCAGTGACTTCAGAGAGACCAAAGCAATTCATATGACCTGTCCATATTCATTATTGCAACATCTTTCCATTAAAAACGCCATTTCTGCCTTGCATAATATACAATTCTGCCCATGAATCAAAATTTCAGTGTTAAGTATCACCAAGTAAAGAAAGAAAATTTCTGTTCTGTTTAAAAAACCAAAGAAGTACAGTTATCGCTTTCTCTTATGTGAAGACAAAACTTCTTACCAGGCTTCACATCTTAGCAATGATATCTGAATATTCATTCATCAACACCCTCACTTTTTTTACTACAGATTAAAAGCATGCAGGACAAAATACTTCTACCATTGCTATGTTTTTTTTCAACTTAGTCCCAAGTTAAAGGAATCTCTGTGAGAACGGGATCTGAACTTACCAAGTTCACCGAGGAGAGTAAACCAAGAGGAGCGATGTGAGGAGTGTGGGGTTGTGAGCACTTTTATATGGTTTCTTAGACCT